GAAAAAATATGTAATAAAAAATTGTATAAATAAAGTGTATAGGGGAAGATAGTTGAGTAGGTGGTACAGCTGCCCTGCTGGGGCAGCGTGTCTTACACAGCAAATTATTGCCTCCTTCGGGGCAAAGTGTTTGGACAGTGATAGTCGGTCTGTGGAGGCCACCACGGGTCTCATTTTAATAATTTGAACCGTTCAATAAATACAACTCGTCGAGTATTATATGCCTGTAAAAAATCATGTTGATCGGATATCGATAACTATATGATTGGATTAGTTTTTTTCAACAGTTAACTATAAGACCATTTTTGTTTATACAAAACTGATTTGATCATATAGTTAACGATATCCGATCAACGTGATTTTTTACAAGCATATAATACTCGACGAATTCTACATATAAACGGTTCGGATTATCAAAACGGAATCCTTAGTGGGCCCGCAAGGGCCCAACATTACCACAAAACTTTGTGAGTTTATATATGTAATTTTTCTTTTTTTGCCCTAAAAGTGTATGACTTGCCTAGTACGGGTGACAGTGTAATTCAAACTTTTGTATTACGAAAATGTGTAAAATATTTTTTTAATATTTTTTATTTGTGAATAATAATTACTTTATTACTTTTTGTGTAACTTTTTGACTTTTTATATTTTTTGAGACTTGCCAAACCTGGCCTTAATAATAGTATTTGTCGCTTTTGTCTTGCTTTACTGTACGGGTTGATGTGTTGTTTGGTTACTGAAACTTTCTTAGGAAAATTAGAAGAGAAACTGAATATGAATTTGGTATGTTTTGTGGGTTATTTATTTATATTTTTATAAATCTAGACTAACATGATTTTGACAATAGTTGCGAAACACTGTTTCTTCTCCGATTTCTCAATGGCAAGAAGCCAACTTGGTTGTATACAGGTCAGTGGTCACCACCATGCTAGACCATCTCCAATTTTTTTCACTAATTTTTCATGTAATTTTATCTAATTTGGGTAAAAAATTTAATTTGATATGAACTAATCCTTTCGTTAAAATCTTCTTAAAAATTTCCCTTTTATCCCAAATTTTCATTTTAATCAAATTTCATGAAAAAAAATCATTATGAAGGATTCAATGAGTTCTCAATTTGATGGGAAAAAAAAAAAAAAAAGACTCACTTAATTTGATGATCATTCAATGAAAGAATTGGAGATGATTTTTAAGTACTTTTTCGTCAAATTTAAATTTAAGATGAAAAATTTGAGATGCGCTTTACCCAAATTGGCTGTACAGAAAGTGACTTGAACCACAAGAATTTTGATTTTCCTTTTGCATTTTTTTTTTTTTTGAGAATTTAAATTTTTTTTTTTTTTTTTGGGATCTACTTCTATTATACATCTCAGCAACCAAAGGGTAGAACTTCTTGAAGGTTTTATTGCAGGTCATGTGTTTTGTTTACATTGAACTATGGTGTTCTGATTTTCCTTTTATTTTTTTTTATTTTTATTTATATATATATATTTTGGGTCTACTTCTATTATACATCTCCGCAACCAAAGGGTAGAACTTCTTGAAGGTTTTATTGCAGGTCATGTGTTTTGTTTTTTATTTTGCTGAAAATTCTAGGGAAAAGCAAATTGATTATTTGGATCCCAGCATTGAACTATGGTATTAAGAAGTCTATAACCTTTTTAGCCTAAATTTCCTTTGAAATTGGAAGAGGCAATTTAAGGTTTCTTCATTTGGCTATTGGCTTTAGGTTTGTTGTCACCCGTTTGTGCAATTGGTTGCGATAAATTGGGAAAGGACAAATGGTGGGGATTTTATAGGTGTTAATTTAACAATTAATAATTAATTTTTTTCAATTAAAATAAAAAAGTGATCTAAGAGTGATGCATTTTATTTTTTTAAATTCTCAATGACTAAGGTTTTTGTTTGTTTGTTTGTTTTTGTATAAATTATGTAATTCTTTAATAGTTTTTAATTAATTCTTTTTTTTCATGTTTGTCAAATCTTTTTGATTGAAAATGTTTAAAAGTCTTGAATTTGTGTTTAATTATTTTGATATTCATTTTATTTTAAATTTATATTCAGTTTCATGTTTATTAAATTTCTTTGATTGTAAGTGTTTTAAGAATATTGAATTTGGCCAAGATTATTTTTAAATTCAATTTATTTTTTAATTTATATATATTTAGTTTTCTTAATGCACTATTTGAAACTTATATTTATTTGACAAGTTTACACACGCATTGCGTGTGCCAAGTTGCAGGCGGGTTTCAGGTGGGTCGCGAGATGGTGGGTCGATTTCACACCCCTTGGTTTGGGTTGAATCTTTTTATTATAATGAAATTTGATAAATTACAATTATAATAAAAATTAAATATAACACGTAATCAATTAAAAAAATTAAGAATTCTCTCAAAATTAAATAGAGAAACTCAAAATTTAATTTGTAATATTTGAACGACTTTAGTGTCACGATCACATTCAAATTTTATTTGTGTTTTGCTTTGTAATTTTGCATTCGTTCCGAGAGGTTGTAACAATATCCTCAAAAAAAAAAAAAAAAAAAAAAAGGGGTTGTAACAGGATTGTGCACTTGTTTGTATTATTGTTAGCGGATAAGTAAGAATAAAACAAAATAATAATAAAATTAATATTATAATGTATAGTTAAGTAGTGTGAGTACTCTTTCCTTAAACCCATGGTCTTGGGTTCAAGCTTTGCCCACTTCTTTGTGTAATTTTTTTTTTAAAAAAAATAAAAGACATTGTCACGTAACATAAGGAGAGAAAGGTTTCACTACACCAATTGAGGCCTTCACTTAATAATAGTATAGACATAAATTTGCTTACAACAACTAATCTTTAGGTAGATATAGTCTCCCATATCACATATACTAAATAATTATCGAGCCTAAACTCTAAGGTCATATTTGTTTAGAGACGGATTAAATAAAGGGGAATGTAATGCAATTGACTGATAATTTGGGGAACATATTCTTTGGACTATTTGGTTAGAAATGATGTATATCTCATGTTTGTTTTCTTATAGTATTAAAATGTCGAGAAATGGTTATTTTAGTAAATCTCATGTTTGGTTTGAAAAATAGGAAGTATATTGTTTAAATTGTTTACAATGGCAATACTAAATTTAAAGTATATGTCATTTTTATTTGAAATATATTTTCTTTTATTTTACAAAGACCACTTTTAATTTTATTTAAATACGGCATTAGAAATATATTTTCAATTATGATTTTGCTAATAATATAAAAAAGAAAAAAAAAAGTAAGAGAAGACTATTATATAGCATAAGATTAATTTACATCAGTTTAAAAACATTCAACATGTTTAAACAAAAGATTTAAAAATTGAAAGAAATAAATTATATATATATATATATTTGAGGGTTAATTTCGTCATTTAACTAGCTAATTCGAAAGTTGGCCCAATCTGTCCATTTCTGTCCCACACCCCCATGAGATTATTAGTCCGACCTGACTATTAATCAGATTTTTACTTTTCTAACCAAACATTAAATTATTTACTTTATTGGATATAGAATCCAATCCCATGTCCTAATCCTAGGAGAGTCTACTGGTCCAAATCTAAAGTTTAAAACCTTAACTCATAGGCTACTCAATTGTACAATTCAGTTGGTTCACAGGATTGCGTGCGTATTTCCTTGCTATTAAATTCCCATTAGGATATGGTTTGGAGATTTTTCTAGGGTATCTCTTTTGAATCGTTGATTTTTATCAAGTAATCTCCAATGTCGTGAAAAGCTAATGTGTGCGCCCACACGCACACATACATGATGCTATATAAAAACAATTTGATGGGGACTGCATCAAATTGATTCAAAAAATTAAATATTCCCCTAATAGAATTCTTCATTCTTAATTATTTGGAATATGCTATTACCTAATAAGATACCAACAAAGAATATTAGGAATAGGGGATGTGAATGTAGCAATTGAACTTTCTGCTATTATTCCCCATAAGGCCTAGTTGAAGAAGATGTGCATCAAGATCAACATTGTTAACAACTACCTAGGAATGTCCTTTGCAAAAAACTTAGATGTGCATTGTGCACCATATATAATTCTAAAAAGTTTTACGAATTTACATAAGTATTTTACAAAAATGACATAAGTTCAACACAAACTTGTGTAATCACATAAGTTTTATGAATTTATGCCAATTTATGTCAACTTATGCATTTTTGTATAGTTACTTACGTAAATTTGTAAAAATTTACGTAATTCTGTATAAAATTATATGTGGTGCACACCAAAACATTTCCTCAGCTTTTTGTCATATTTGGTTAAGTACCAATTCCTTTCAGTTTTGTTGAATATGGTAACATATATCCACAGGGGTTGCATATCTTTCGCCTCTATACTTGCGTATATATATTTTTGGATAATTTGACAAAGACTACACACTCCCACTTGCCAATGATTGTCTAATGGGCTAGACACTTCGTGAGTTTTTGAGTTATATGTTAGAGCAATATCAGGTCATTAATACTGCCATTAAAGAGTTCAATACGATTTTAGAACAGTTGGTTGGGGTGCCTCTCACAAATTTTACATGCTATTTTTTTGTCCTATATTTTATTAGCGTAAATTATACACACACTACTAAAAAAAATACTTTTTTCGACCACTATAAACCATCGCAAATAATAAAAAAACAGTCACAAAAGACTTTTTGCGATGGCCCATGCGACGGCAAATGGGGTCGCGAATGTGGGGGTGGCAAATACTTTTTGCGACGGCAAAGCAAGTCGCAAATTATTTGCGACCGCCTAAACTACTTATGGCGACTGCTATTTTGCCGTCGCAAAAAACAAAGAAAAGCACTAACATGATTTTTGGCGACCATCTTGTTACCGTCGCATAAAATAAAATAAAAGTGTAGCGTTAAGCACTTTAGGAATAGCAATGACAAGAATTCAAATAGTATAGCATTGTAGTTTAATTGAACACGCCATTTGAGTCTCAGAATTGGAGCCATACGTGAAAGTTACTACAACTAAAAACTTGGAAAAAGTTCTTTTATGAAAAAAATACAATCTAGAACTGGCCAATCTTCTCATCAATTTTCTTGCTCGGGTGTTTCTCCACTCTATCAATGAACTGGCCAATCTTCTCATCGATTTTCTTTTCAAATTCCACATCACCACATTGCACCTATGCCCATGGAACCTGCAAACAATCTGCTGCTCAAAAGCACCATAGCATGCACAACACCTCCACCTTTGTGCCAAACCCACAAATGGCAACTCAATGTCACGTAAATGGGCAGAACAAAGTATTACTAAAAAATAAATAAAATTACTTTCTTATAAACAATATTCAATTCCATCTACGGCATTTAAAACAGTTTCTTATTAAATAGAAAGTGTAATAATAGCTGTTCTAACCTGGATGGCACTTCCTATCCTCAATCAGAAAAGTGGTGAAGAGTACCTAATTTGTAACACATTTAAAAAATTCTCTATAGCAGCAAGAATGTGACTACTCTGAGGCTTGAATGATGGATCTGCTAATCTTGGTTTAATTCTGAAGAAGAAAACAACACCTTCAAGCTTATTATATATATTATATATAAAACTAGATGCTTATAGAGCATGGGGTAAACCACGAAAAAGAATTGTATGCATAGAAAAATTAAACTCCAAAAGAAGTTTGGGTGTAACCTATATAAATCCATAGTTAAAAAGGAATTAACTGAATGCTTACAGGGGCCAGTTCTTTTCATTTTTTTCTTTTGGTGGAAGGCCGACGCCCCAATTGTTAGATTTGTAGTTGAAGTCTTAACCTGAAAACAAATTCATCTAAACAAAAATGATAAAAATGATAAAAAAAAATAAGAAAGTAAAAATCTCCACTCACCAAAGACTGCTTTTGCGACCGAAATAGTTGCACCATTTTTTGTAGTTTTTGAAAAGTTTCTTAATAACTTCTGTAAGTGTGGTGTCATCCAACTGAACATGAATGGGGTATATGTTATGAATAACTAAGTGTTTTTTTACAAAATAAAATATTATGAGCCAACGCTATTTGTGAGCAGAATACCCTGGGCTGCTGATCAGGCTGAAATCGCTAAATATGCACATTTGCCAGCAACAATATTAAGTGCTCCCTCTGATTTGCCACATTATCCTTCTGCAGATCAATAGTTAGAGAAACAGATCCCCATCAAGACTCAAATGAAAAAAAGTGATCAAAAGCAACAAGAAAGTCACTTGAAATCCAAACATAGTCTGAAGCCAGTCTAGAATGTCTTCATCTACTTTCTTCTTGTGGCCCTTGGGCCATGGCAGCCTCTGGTGTTTCGAAGTGCAGAAACAGAAGCTTGAATCTGTAAATTAAACAACCAAGGTATAAAAAAGGTCCTTTAAAGATATAATTCAAAAAGGTCAAGAACAATATTCTAGATATTCAGAAACTAACCTCAGGATATTTCATGATTTCTTGATTTGAGCTGTCAGGATCAAGAGGAAGTATGTTATAAGGTACATATATCGCAGTCTTTTCCTCAACCTTACTGTGAGTTTCCAAAATCTACATGCATATGTATGTCCAATTATTATTAATTTTTAGATTTTATATATATATATATATATATATTATAAATACAATATATGTTGAAGCGGTCGGCTTCGGTTTAGTTTGGTGCACAAAGTGCTTGAACTAATACTGAAAAATTTAGAAATTCCCTAGATATTGATTTGTGATTATGTATTAATTTTAAGCAGTAACTATCAATCACAATCAAACAATCAAGACAAATCGACACAATGATTTTAATGTGAAAAAATCACAATTGGAGCACCTCCAATTGTGATAAAAAAATCAAGCCGAGCGCTACATTAGAAAAAAAAAAAAACAAAAAAAAACAACAACAACAATTTCCTATCAAAATCAGGTGATAAATATTAATAGATTGAAAAGCCAAAAAACAAAACAAGTAAAAACAATGGTGTAAGAACATAGAGATTCAAGGAAATAGAGAGAATTTGATTATACTGTAAAAAATTGAGCAGCAAAACATTGGAATTGAATAAAAAAAAGTGTATGATTATACTATAAAAAAATAAAAAATAAAAAACAACAATGAATTCTGAGCTATAGATCACGTACAGATAAGAACTCAATATAGAACGAGAACAAATCAAAACAAACCGAATAGAAAAACAAAGGAACTTTTAACAGAGTTGGAATCTGAATGTGAAGAAAACAATGTCACGACCCAAACCCGCCCCTATGGGTTTAGCACCGTAACCGGCCAGTAATTCGTGATTACCGAAGGCCTGCTTAACGGTCAAACAATAATACAGAGTACAAGGGCATGGCGGAAGCCAAAACAGTAAATGAACAATGTCCAATGAGCTGTGACAGTCTGTATGCAAAAAAAGACTTTTCATACATATATACCATCTGTGCAAAACAGTATGTACGACATTTACAATCATTTAGGACAGGGACTTAATCCCTATTGAAACAGTACAGTACAATGCTATCAGTCTATACAACATTACAAAACAGATACAGAGACAGACGGGGGAAATTAAAACACCCCTAAGCCATAGCTTGGCAGGCTCGGAACCTCGCAGTGAGGCACAGTGGTTGGCTTGACAAAAAGGAGAGTCTAACCCACGCTCCTAGCTCCGGTTTGGTGCCTGAACACCTACATATATGTATAGAAACAGTGAGCTAAAGCCCAGTGAATAGCATAATACGTAAAGAGGTTAAGAATAAATGTTCTTACAATATTGAAAATAATCAGTTCAATCAGTATATCAGTTATTCAGTCATTACAGTCATATGTGGTGCATCTAGTAGCAAAACAGTACAGTAGGTCTTATCAGACCGAACAGTCAGTTGATGGCCATCGTATCAGTAAACAGTAGTGGTTCCAACATGGGAGCCGACAGAGATCTCTGTGACAGTAGCAGTACAACACAGTAACAATAGGTTGCTAAGGATGCCACAATACAATTCACAATTAGGACATCATTCATTCAGTAACAGTATCATTTCAGAAAACAGTACAGTTCAATTGTTCAGAAGATAATCATATTTGAACATATCTTTACACAGTTGTTACTCACAGAGTTCTGGGCTACAGATAAGCTAGAGAGCGTCTCCGGATGCCAACCCTACACAGTTACAGAGTGAACACACACTAAGCTATACAGTTGGGAAAATATAACTTAATCCTTATCTTGACTTGGTGTGGTTCTACATCAATATCCTCATTAAGATGCCTTAAACTAGACCTAAGAATGCCTAGGATGGGATGAGGATGCAAAGATACACTTTAAAAGCATTTTTAGGATTTTCAGAAAACAGGGATCCCGTTCGAGCGTCGATTACTCCGCTCGAGCGGACATGCAGACAAAGGTTTCCGCTCGAGCGCAGACTTACCCGCTCGAGCGTACTGCAAAACAGTCAAAAGTGCTGGATAGGTGAAATTCATGCTCGATTGGGCGCTCGACACCCGCTCGAGTGTAAGACACAAGGTCCCGCTCGAGCGTAAATTACCCCGCTCGAGCGGACCTCAAAACAGTGCAAAGTATTGGGAGCACGAATTTCACGCTCGAGCGCCAGTCACTCCGCTCGAGCGTGAGTTCAAAATCTGGAATTCCCAGATTTGAACCTCAAGCTCAAAATCAAGTTTTAAAACATGAATTTTGATCCTCTTGGGCTAATTTGCTGGAAAACATTTGTAAACTCATAGAACAACATGTTTCAAAGGTCAATTGTAAAACCAAAGCCCCAAGGGAAGATCAATTCAACTCAATTTCAAACCAAATTTCAAGAACATAACTTCAATTGAACATGCAAGACTTTAAACAACTTTCAAGCTTCAATAAATTGCTCTAATGAGCCAATTGTTCCAAAAACAAGATAAATTCATGAACCTTAGCTAGAACTTGGACATGCAAGTAACAATTTTCCATGAAATCGACTCAAATTTCAACAATGGAAGCATGCATGCATGATCTATGCTACAATTCAATACATTAAGCCAATTCTAGACTCAATCCCTTAATTTTGACATGAATCATGCAAGAACAAGCTCACTTCATAAACAAGAGGGTGATTATACTACCTTAGGTCTCCAATGCAAGATAAGGGAGCTCAATTTGCAATCTATACTTCAATTCTTCAAGTTCTCTAGCCAATTCTCCAAGTTCTCTAGCCAATTCTCCAAGTTCAACTCAATTCCTCTCACTCCCTCACTCTACTCGACTAGAACAAGGAAATGGCTGAAGAAAATGTTTTGGTCAAGTGTGTATGAGGCTCAAAGTGTTTAGTTAGTGGGTCACTAGGCATGGCAAAGTCGTGATTAAGTCCAAGTTTGCAATTTATCAATAATTAATCTAATTTAAATATACCAAATCACATTTTAATTAGATATGCCATAAAATCACATAAATTCTAATGATCATAAATCATCAATCAATTTCAGATTCAGCCGCCAATAAGGCCTTCACTTTGCAGTTTAAAGCATAAAACATAAACAGATAATTTAATAATCAACAGATAGATATGCAATTAAACTAGCACACTCAATCGATCAGTTCAGTATTTCAGTCGATTCAATTACTTATCATAATCAGTCTCAGTTTAGCAGTAATCATTGGTTAATCGGTAAACAGTGGCGAGAGTTGTTACAAACAAGCAGCATAACGAGAGAGACATTTAATAATAAGCTCTCATTGTAATTTGATCAATCCAAGTAGTTCAAAGAACCGCAATCATAAGATTGTGATCCATATCAATTTGACGAGCAAATACTGAATCTAAAGATAACTAAATTAATCACAATAAACCAAAGAACTCTGATCTACAAAATCAGATCAAACGCAGTTTCAAACTCAAATGAGAACAAACAAATCAATAGAAAAATGTATTATTATAGTGCAAAAAATAAAAACACAAGAATTCTCAGATACAAAACCAGATCAAGTACAGATATGAAACAAATCGAAACAAAATAAATAGAAAACACAGAGGAAATTTGAAGAGAGTAGGTACCTGATTTGTACACAATGAAGCTCAAAGATAGTCTAGGTGTGTGTGTGTGTGTAATGTAGGTGAATTTTGAGATAGATGAAATGCATGATAGGTGAGCTTACTTTGTTGTATTTGAGAACTCCAAGAGACCTTTTCAATGTAGTCTACTAGCAGAGTTAGGGTTTCTCTGCGATGAATCGAGCAAATTGCAGCGAGAGATGTATACAGACACAGAGAGAGAGAGAGAGAGAGCGAGATTGTGCGAAAGAGAGATTGAGAGATCAAGAGAGGAAGAGAGATCGAGACAGAAACAGAGAGATTGAGAGATCGAGGAAGAGATTCATACTGGTGGAGTTCTTCAGACAACGATGGGCAGGTGAGTGAGAGCAACAGCGAGACAGCAAGCAAGAACGAGAGAGAGAGTTGAGTGAGTCTGCTAGGGCAAAACTAAGAAAAGGGCGCAAATAAATGAAAGAAAATAGGAACCTTTTACTACTGCTTGCGTTTCATTATACCGTCGCGGTTTTTTTTTTTTTACCCCGACTAATCAGACAGTCACAAAAAAATAGACACAAAAAATCAATTTTCTAGTAGAGCTCCCCTGAGGTTTGGGAAAAACACAATTAGCCCAATACTTTGATATAATCACATTGACCTCGTTTCTAGTAATGCTAAATTGATTGAAACTAACGCATATGATGGGTAGACATTGAAACATATACATTGTAGTTGTAAATAGATGACACAATCATTTTTTCATTCATTTGACTGGGGCTAGGTAAGCATCTATTCGACCTGTTAAAATGAAATTACCCGAACTAATCTGGCACAGAATGGACGATTTCAATAGTTCAAGCAAACGGATGTTGATGTATTTTTTCAATCCACCTAAGTTCGAACAGATGAAGGATGGGACTCGATCCACCAACATTCCTAAGAAAATGATATTACACTTTTTACATAATTAAGTAATTTTTTATTAGTAATTCGTTAGTAATATGTATGGGTGCTCAGATGGCAAGTGAGTGTAATTTACGCTTTTTATTATTATTTTATGTCTATAATTTTCTTGATTTATGGTGATTTTAATTGTTAATATATTTATGTGAAATTAATTATTGTAGTGGATTTACCAAGAACAAATTATTGGTGTTTGAACATTCATCAGTGAAGTCTGCCGAATCAAACCCATTTGTAATGTGGAATCTGTATATATATATATATATAAATTTTTAACAACGAAGTGGGAGGATTAAGATTTGATAGTTACGGCGTCAATTTGATGCATGAAACTAATGATTCCACTGTGGAATCTTT